CCTAGTTACCACCCAGTCCATTCAAAGTAGGATGGACTGATTAGGTTACAAATTCCCAGTCTTATCATTTTACCTCTGAATATTCCTGCATTAACAGAAGCTTTTGGAGGATACCTCGTATCTAAACTGTAACAGGTGGTGAGCCAGATTTGGCTTGAGAGTTATAGTATTTGAACCCCTGAAGAAAATATAAGAATGGCCAAAAAGGTGATGAAAAAATACTCAGCAAATCATCAGGAAGTGCAAACTCTGCAGCAAGATATAAGTATATACTCACTAGCTAGAATGATAAAAAGACTGACCATATTAAGTTCTGGTGAGGATGTGGAACAACTAGAATGCATGTTCTACTGATAGGAATATAAAATTGTACAAAAACTTAAAAACCACTTAGCATATGGATCAGTAATTCCATACTTGGGTATTTTCCCAAGAGAAATAATAACTATGTCCACATACAAAGTTGCTTTATTTGAAATAGGCAAAAAGAGGGGGAAAAAAAACTCAACAACTGAAAAAAAGATTTATAAATTGTGGAATATCCATACAATAGGAACAACTAAGCAAAAAGGAACTTTTATACACAAAGTGATATGGATGAATCTGTGTAACTGGCTTCTTCTACTTATTGTATTAGTATTTCCTAACCTAAGTGAGAAGCTAATGGGTATTTACTATATGGCTAATATTTTACCTTACACATATAATCTTTTGCATATCTATCTGTTTAATGAAAACAATTTTAAAATGATAAATGAAATAAAATATATAGTGCTTAATATATGGCAGGTGTGGGCATACAATAAATACTGATTTTTAAAAGGTTAGCATCAATGTCCTTAATTTTGCCCTGCTCAATCTCAAAATGTTTCTTTTTATATCCCCTCCTAGTATAATTCCTCCTTCCCAAATTTAACCCTATCATTTGTCTTCGTGTTAAGAACTCATTCCCATCAAATTCTCTTCAGAACCTAACTTATCAATTATTTCATTTTACTTTTACTCTCTTCAATTGCTCTTTCCTTTGGCCTACCAAAGTCTCCTGTACTCTAAAAAAGGGATGGCAAACTCATTCTGTAAGAAGTCAGATAGCAAATATTTTAGATTTTATTTGCGTATAAAGATCCTTTAAACATAGAAACCATTTTTTTTAAGTCAAAAAGCCGGATTTGATCCATGGGGTAGTTTGCCAACCCCTTGTTCTAAAACATGATGAAGCACAACTTCTTAATTCTATTTCCTGCTACCAAAACTACCTCTGTAACCTAGGGAAAATTTAAATAAACCCTGTAGCTTCACTTGCTTTTAGTTGATTTTAGAAAGCACTAATTTTGGAGGACATGCAGCTGAATAATATTAGTCTCCCACTAGCTTTGCTATATATGACACCTCTGACTGAATCTAACATGTTAAAATTGTTCTTATGCAAAAGCTGCCTTTCCCTATCTTTTCTGGCAGAAGTTGTTTTTCACAATCTTCCCTGTTCTTCAGAAAAAGATGACTTTTGTATCCTAATACTTATCTGCAAGGTTAGCTATTCCTGAAAAAAGGAACTAAAAAGACATGAGTCAAAAGACTTTCTAATCAGTAATTTTTTTTGGATTTGCAGAGCCCAGCACATCTGGTTGTCTACAGATAACAGTGGCACATTTCAGAAAATTTGTAACTACCATGGAGTCTTCCTATCTGGTATGCTTACACCCAAATTCCTATGTAAGCCTTGCACTTGCATCTCCTGAGCAAGATGGTCTTTTTTGGTGACAGCAACAAAGACCATCTTCTTTGTTTTGCTAGCTTTCCAAATAAACTTTTTTTTCCTTGCCCCAACAACTTGTCCTTGAGTCACTGGTCTGTTCAAGTAGCCAATGTGAATTTGAGTTTGGTAACATTTCTCAAATTCAAGTAAATTTGCTGTGTTGCCATCACACACCTAACACCATATTAAGCGTTTCTATATTTTTTTCATCTCATACAATCCTTGCAGTGATACTAAAATGTTTTAGCACTATTTTACAAAATAGAACATTGAGGGGCTGGGGTTGTGGCTAAGTGGTAGAGTGCTATTCTTGCACATGTAAGGGACTGGGTTCAATCCTCAGCATTACATAAAAATAAATATAAAATAAAGATATTTTAAAAAGATTTTAAAAAATAGGATATTGAAACTTGGCAAGTATAAACAATTAGGTAGTTAACACCAGAATTGTTTTTATAACCAGTTTCTTTATGTCTAATTCTAGAACACTTTTGATTATATCACACTACTCCCATATTTCTTCACTGTGATTTATCTGGGAAACAGAAATCTTCAACTGGTGCTTCTACTTTTTCACTGAAATGCCTACTATTTTTGTACTCAGTCTTTCAGAATCTGATTTCTGTCTCCAATGCTCTATTAAAAACCATTCAACAAATCCAGCAATATATAAATTTAAAAACTACAGGGCTGGGGCTGTAGTTCAGTGGTAGAGTGCTTGCCTTGCTCGTGTGAGGCACTGGGTTTGATCCTCAGCACCACATAAAAATATAAATAAATAAAGATTGTGTGAATCTTGGGTGAATGATGAAATGTTCTAGAATTAGAACATTCTAAAAGAAAAATTTAAAAAAATTTATAAGCCACAAGTCTTATTATATCAATGACATTTAAGTATGATTTAAAAAATAGTGTAGCCACTTTGAAAAGTTTGGCAGGTCCTCAAAAAATTAAACCAGGTTACCATCCCACCCAACAATTCTACTACTAGGTATATAACCAAGAGAACTTAAAACATGTTCACAAAAGAACTTGTACATGAATGTTCACAGCATCATTATTCATACTAATCAAAAAAAGGAAAATTCAAGTGCCCATATCAACTGAAGAATGGATAAACAAAATAAGGTATATTCATACATCAAATATTATTATCCATAAAAAGGAATGTAGTGATGATACATGCAGAAAACATGGATGAACCTTAAAAACATTATGCCAAATGGAAGAAGCCAGTTGAAAAAGGTCACACATTGTTCTGTATATATGAAATGTCCAAAACAGGCTAATATATAGAGACAGAAAGTAGATTAATAGTTGCCTGAGATTGGGGAAGGAGAAAATGGGAGTGGTTGGTAGTGGGTACAGTGTTGCTTTTTGGAATGATGAAATGTTCTAGAATTAGTAGTGATGGTTGTATAATCTTGTGAATATACTAAAAAGTCCCCAAATTATACACTTTAAAAAGGTAAATTTTATGGTGTGAATTATATCTTAATTTTAAAAAAGAAAAAAAAAAAAACCTACCTAGAATCCTATATTCCTACCTTTTCATTTTTCCTTATTTTTTTCTCTAGTCATCAATTATATGTACATATATAATTGATCACTTTAATTTTCCTGTCATGGATACAAAATCATTTTCCATTTTTCCATACAACCATAACTATGTAATTTTACCTCTTATAGATATAAAATATATCAAAAGACTACAATTTTAATAATTTGTTTTTCCAACATTAAAAATGTATTTACATAATTAAGCCTAAGGGGATATATATATATATATATATATATATATATCTTCTTTTTATGTTTTTTTTAAATTTATTTTTTTCTACTTTTTCTATTGGTGCATTATAGTTGTACATAATGATGGGATTTGTTGTTACATATTCATACATGCATAAAATATAAAAATATAATTTGGCCCATATCACTCTCTAGCACTTACTCCCATCCCCTACCCCCTTCCCATCCTTGATCCTTTTCCTCTACTGGTCTCTCTTTGATTTTTAGGAGATCCATTCCCACCTTTCTTTTCCTTTTTCCTTTCTAGCTTCCACATATAAGAGAAAACACAACTCTTGACATTCTGAGTTTGACTTATTTCTCTTAACATGATTGTTTCTAGTTCCTTTTTATGGTATTTCTTTACAATCAGTTCCTAAAGTGGAATTATTGAGCTATATAATATGATAATTTTTATGGCCCTTGAAACATGGTTCCTACTATCTTACAGGTCTGATACAATATATACCATCATCAGAAGAGCACAAGTAAACAAGACTGATAACCATAATATTATCAACATTAGGTGTTACTTTAAAATTTAATGTATAAAATATGACACATACAATAAAGAAAATGTTAAGTTCTTTCACTTAGTTGGATCTATTTCTGGATTCTCTAATCTATTCCACTGACATAATTCCCTGCTTGTGGTTTTATAATACATTCTTACATCAGATAATGTAGATGCTCTTTCCTTATTCTTTTGGACAATTTCTTATTTATCTGTTTAATTTTCTATATACATTTTAGAACACACTTTAAAGGTATAACTCCCCCTTGAATTTCTAAGGCATCTATCTGAATATTCAGAGTTCTCTAGAAAGCTCTCCCAAAGAGTCCCCTCAGAAAAGTGACCCTTTGATGTTCTTTCCCAGGATCTCTATGCATATCTGCAGCATAATATATATCACTTTGTTTTCTGGAAAACTAAATTAGAGGGCCATCACTTATATCTGAATCCTAAGTTAGTAGAACCTTATAGCGTGTCAAAGAAAATGTAAGGTTAATCCATGAATAAATCAAAGACACCTCTTGGCACAAGTTTAACAAGAGATTATTGCTTGGTACTACATTAGAAGGGGGAAAAGCAAAGAAAGAAAACAATCTTGCCTTTCAGGGAAATCTGGACTTTGAAAGGAAGGAGAATAAAAGGCATCCTACTAATAAGCAACTTTGGAGATTTTAACAGAATGATTATGTAATTAATGTTTATGTGAATTTAATAGAATGTAGAGAAGAATGAGTACAGTAGGAGTTATGAAGGACTCTTGGAAATTGAGACAGGCAGAGAAGCCCTAAATGGATTTGGTATGTTATAGTCTCTGTTACAAACATGAGTAAAGCCATGAGGTGATACATGGGACCCATGTACCTATCAACTCCACAAGGCTCAATTATTTCTGCCCCCCAAAATTTTATTCTATGCAGTAAAGAATTAAAATGTTTTTACCTGAAGTTCTCCAAGTTTCTTAGACGTTGGTGAAACAATGGTAAAAAATCCATTGATTTGATGGGTTGGAGAAAGCTGAGCTAGTCCACTGATCTGAACTTTACCAATTGGAAGATGATCAAGTTTGGTGATTACTTCCAGCACCAGCACAGCCATATCTAATTAGAAACAATGATAACTTAGATATTTTTCAATTATTTTTAATTTTGGAAATAGACAAGGGATATACATTGAAAAACTCTTTTACTTAAAAATTTCAAATAAACCAGACACTTTCAATACCAATTTAGGGGTAGGGGGGTAGTGTAAGTGTAAGCCCAAGACCAAAAGAACAAGTATGTTTCAGAGAAAAATGATAAATACCTTACACTAAGCGGGGGAAAAAATACTGAATAAAATACTTAGTATACCAAGTATCTGGACAAGGAATATACCTTTAAAGAGTACTGTACTAACCATATTTGCCAAGAACTTAGGCTTTGTCTTTGAAATATAAAAGCAACAAATCTCAGTTGAATTCTTTCATTGAATTAGACAAAAGGCTGCTCTTACATAGCTGAAAGGTTTGGTTCCCGTCTCCCAGGAGTATCTAACTGCTTACTCCTGGGTTATATCTGGAGAACTGAGCTAATGAAATAAATCCCTTGAAACTAAGGAATGGAAATATATACTTTAACTGTTTTCTTCAATTATTCATTTAGACCTAATACCTTCATGGTCATCATTCATAGAAGGATAAATATTAAGTATGCAAAATGAATCTATGATCATTTCAAGAAAGCACAACTTCTGAAGATTTTTAAATTGTTTTTAGATATTGATGGATCTTTATTTTATTCATTTATTTATATGCAGTGCTGAGAATCGAACCCAGTGCCTCACACATGCTAGGCAAGTGCTCTACCACTGAGCCACAACTCCAGCCCCAACTTCTGAATATTTTATTACCAAAGTTGAGAAATAGTTCACTTTCACCACTGAAAGAAAAGCATGTGGAACTTATAATGAGAAGACCTGTGGTTGTGTCCTGGTTCTAATATTCACAAGCTATTTCTGTGTAAACCACAACTATCTATAAACAGGCATTATAACACCATATAGTTGCTATGTGAGAAATAAAGGTACACAGGGCCCTTCTACACCATAGTCGCTAAATGGTTATTATATGACTTCAGGCAAATTACTTAATAAACCACAGTCCCTTTCTTACCTATTCATGGGGGTTTTCTAAAAAAATCATATGAGCTAATAGATGCAAAAATGTTTTGTAGTCTATAAAATGATATGCACATGTGGAATAAAAGAAATAGATCAACATTTGTGGGCTCTTTACTAACAGCCAAGTTCTCCCATGTCTCATTAATCCTCTTTATGATTCTATAATATAGGTGTTTCTGTCTCTATCTGAGGATAAAACAAGCTCAGAGAGGTCACATAAAATTCCTGAGTTTAATAAGCTTTAAAGTGCCAGAACTAGGCTAAAACTCAGTTCTACTGAATTATATACCTCTTCATTATTCATTATAATGCTTAATTCCCAATAGACTTCTAACCTTCATCCTTCATTTTTGCTGTTACTAGAATTCCCATTGTTCAGCATTATTACCACCCCTCTTGTCTTGCATTTTCCTACTAATTAAATCTTATGAAATTATAGAGAGGCAAAAATCAAGTGGTAAGGCCCACAGAAGTACCATAATTTTTCCAGTTTCTGCTTTAACCTTTCCATATTCCAAATATTTTCATGGCTGCTATTTCCTACAAAGCAATAAAGGGCAAGGGAGGAAAAATGTAAGAAGAGAATGTGAGGCACATCTCCAAATCCTATAATCCTTCTAGTTTTTGAATCCACATGGCATAGCAGAAATATTAATGTTCTTAGAATCACCAGCCTCCCTGAAATTAGGGTTAGTGTTATGGTAACCTTGGGTTGATCACTTTTAACTCTTTGAACCTCAAATTCATGACTTAGAAAACGAGGCAAATACACAGTACAAACATACAGATCCTCATAGAATGCATTCTAGTACTTCCCAGAGACTTTATTACTTTAATTCTTCTACTATATTTTCACTTTCACACACACAAAAAAAGTTTTAAAAGATTAAAATTGCAGAACTGGGGTTGTGGCTCAGTGGTAGAGTGCTTGCCTAGCATGTATGAGGCACTGAGTTCGAACTACTCAGCACCACCTAAAAATAAAGAAAGAAAATAACGGTATTGTGTCCATATACAATTAAAATTTTTTTTTTAAAATGCAAAGATTTTTCTCAATAGTTAAAAAAAATCAATATTTAACAGGCATTTACAATTTCCTTAACTTCTTTTCAGAACAAGACAAAATAGACATAAAGAAATAAAATTTAAACACTTTGCCAATGTCACAGGGTCATTTGAAACACCAAGTAAGATGATGGAAGTGAAAGTGTTTCATAAATTGCAAAATATTATACACATTCCCTTGTTTTCCTATGTTATTTTTATTTAAATGCATTTAAACTATTGACCACCTTAACTTCCAAACTGGACTAATTCATATTTTATGCTAATATGTAACATCATATTCATTAATTTTTGTTATTTTATTTTCAGTGAAATATGCATAAAAGTATATAAAAGAAAAACAATAAAACACCCACCCACCATACAGCTCAAGAAATAGTAATACTTTTCTGAAGTTTTCAGTTAGAGCACACAACCTTACGAATTAATATTTGATCTCTTGACTCTTCATTCTCTAAAAAACCTGTCATGCTCATGTCCACAACTGGGCCATCACTTACAAGGTTCACTTTATCTATCTCCTACCCAAATCCTACTTTTTCCATGACTTCTTTACTTCTTTCCTACATCGATATATGAAATTTGGGTGCTGACACATTTGGTGTTTATCTCTTTCAAAGATGGGAGAATTAGGCACAGGAAGATGAAAAAGCTTGCTCAAAGTAAAGTAGCAAGAGTAAAGAACAGAAGTAGGATTCTGGCTCCTCAGTAATTAAAAATTAACCCTTAATTAATGACCTAGAATATTCATACGATACTATGTATACCAAGTAATCAGATATTTAATTATATACTTTTCGACACTGCTCACTGACATTTCGTGTATGTCAGTTTTGTGTTTTCCAACTTTTAAAAAATTTTTTTAATATATATATATTTTTAGTTGTAGTTGGACACAATACCTTTGTTTTTTATTTATGTGGTGCTGAGGATTGAACCCAGTACCTTGTACGTGCTAGGTAAGTGTTCTGCCACTCAGCCCCAGCCCCAGCCCCTCAACTATTTTTTCCTTTATTTATTTATTTGCAGCCAAATATTTCAGTTTTATTACAGTTCTGAGGGGAGCCCATCAGGCTGGCAAGTGGTTCTGCTCATGTAGACATTCAGGGACCATGGCTGACAATGGTTCTGCAATTTTCAACATGTGGCTTTCAGGAGCCCCTAGTCTTTAGCACTCCAGCCAACAGGAAGGGGAGAAAGAATGTTGGGGAGGACATGGGCAGGGTTTCAGGACCTCAACCTGGAGATGGCATTCATCACTTCTGCTCCCAGGCCTTTCCTCCAGAAAGAACCCATCTTTCCTCTCAAGATCTGCCCAGTTTTATTTATTTATTTTTTTATGTGGTGCCAAGGATCGAACCCAATGCCTCACACATGCTAGGCGAGCACTCTCCCCCACTGAGCCACAACTCCAGCCCTTCAACTAGTTTTTTTTTTTTTTTTTTTATTGGTTCTCAAAACATTACAATGATCTTGACATATCAAATCTCATACATTTGATTCAAATGGGGTATGAAATCTTATTTTTACCACGTGTACAGATTGCAGGACCTTCAACTAGTTTTTAAATTCCTTTTCAGTGGGGCCTATTTTTAAATCTCTGTATTCCCCAAGTGCCTAAGACTCATATATGTGTAAGATTTTCACCAACAATGTGTCAAGTGTTGGACCAATCACCTTACAAACACTTTTTCATTTAATCTTCAGAATAATTCCTGATACGCAGGTATATTTTCTATCCACCTAACAGGAAACTGAGATTCTAAGATCTTAAGGAATCTCCCAGCATAGTACAGAAATTCAGTTCTGAAGACAGAATCCAAACTCTAGATTGAAAGTCTGTATTCTTCCCATTCACAGGTCACTTCTTCATGAAAATACTTGGAAGGTGAAAGGGTAGGTGATCTGATTTTACAGATGAAGAAATGGGATCAAAGCAAGAAAGGACTTTCCCACGTTCATAACGCCAACTTAAATGTTCAGATGTCAAGTATAATGCATTATTATACCAGAGGATTCTCAAATAAACATTTGACCTGTTGATTATTATTTCAAAAGATATAATTTCTCTTAGTAAATTTCTAATCACTCATTATTTGTTAAATTATATAAAAATACTACCTGAGGATTGAAGTTGTAGGTTTATAATAGCAAGAGCTATCTATGGGTATCCTTTAATAAAAGTTATTTGTGAAGTTAGAATTAGATACCGTTCTGATCTTTATCTGATTAATTTTTATAATCTTTATAGTAATCCACATAATGTCTAAACATGCTAAGCATTTTTTGAATGACTAAATTATAGCACTTGTTCTTTATGTTTTGATGTTTCAAAAATTTTTTCCCTTTACCTCTAATCTTCCAATATTCATAACCCAACAATGTTTACATGATAAATGCATGATTTTTATTGACTTGGAACTGGATTGATTTGGTAAATAGCCCCACCATCTAAAATGTGTTTATGTGGAAACTTAATTTGAAGAAAGAAAGAACACAATAAATTCAGAATATTTTAACAGAAATGAAGACATTTTGCCTTCTGGTTCCCTATAAAGGGATCCCTTCATTCTCTACAAATCTATAACAGTAATTCATTAAAAAAAAAAAAATTTAGGGGCTGGTTCAGTGGTAGAGTGCTCACCTAGCACATGTAAGGCACTGAATTTGATCCTCAGCCCCACAAAATAAATAAATAAATAAATAAACAAACAAACAAATAAATAAAGGTATTGTTGTCCATCCACAAGTTAAAAAAAATGTTAAAAAATAAAAACAACCCATTTGGTACTTAGAAATACAGACTAGAGACTATAGTTCTTACTTAAAGAGTATGTTATAGTGCAGGGTGTGGTGGCGCACACATGTAATCCCAGCAACTCAGGAGGCTGAGGCAGGAGGATCATAAACTCAAGGCTGGTCTCAGCAACTTAGCAAGACCCTCTCTCAAAATAAAAAAAAGGGGCGGGGACTGGGGCTTCGGCTCTGTGGTAGAGCATTTGTCTGGCAAGTGTGAGGCACTGGGTTTGATCTTTAGCACCATATAAAAATAAATAAAATAAAGGTATAAAAAATAAAAATAAAAGAGAGCTGGGGATATAGCTCAGTGTTTAAGTACCCATGCCCCTGAGTTCAATCCCTTTTTTTTTTTTTAAAGTATGGTATAGTGAAAAGACCATTTTTTTGTTGTTGTTGTTTGTTTGCTAGTTCACTTTTATTATTGAGATGAGGTCTTGCTATGCTGCAAGACCTAGGCTGGCCTTGAACTCCTGGGCTCATGTGATCCTTCCTGCCTCCGTCACCCAGATATCTAAGACTAAGAATCATGAGTTTTGGTGTCAGTCAAAAGTGGATTCAAATCCTAGTTCTGCCATTTATCAACTGTGACATTAGAGAGTATGCATTTCATCTCTCTGAACCTTCGTATTGTCTAAAAACAGAAAATACCTATTTTCTAGGGTTATTATTTCAAGGATAAGAATATGTATCAACTACTAAACACAAAGTATACACTCAATAAATGGTAGTTATTTAAAGCCTCTTTCATGCAATAATTAATGCTCATAAATCCTAGATACATAATATCACTTATTGCTGACAGCGTACCCACATACTTCCTATCATATCTGTAAGTAAAATAATAAATGAAAACATACCTGTTAAGTAAGAAGTAAATTGTTTTGGACCACAGCGAATAGCATAACGTGTAGTAGTTCTCACAGCTTTTGGTTCAGTTTGCAATGCATCCCGGGGACAAAAGAGAGTACCATCTGATGTTTCTCCCCACCACCTCACTCGTACAAGTACACAAGTAGGAGGCTTTGCAATCTTCCATATGACTTTATTAACTGTGAGTTTTAGAAAGCAACGTAGCTGACCTTCAACCAGAGGTGGTAGACTTGTAGATGGTGAAATGTCACTCAAACCTATGGAGGAATCTAAGAACACTGAGTCAAAATCTACGCAAAACATAAAAAAAAAAAAATACAATTTGATTTTTGAATGAAAACACAGCCCTTTAGTTTTACAGAGAGAAGGCTTATCCTGCTTATTCCAATACATGAGAAGTAACTAGCAATCCAGACCACAGAATAATCTACCCGGTCACTTATGCCCCACTGATAACTAATTAGTATTTAGAGTTTGATTCTGGTTATTCTAAGTAAAAAACATACCAACTAAGATATACTAATACAAACTTTTTGATTGAAAAGATACAATTTGAAAAACATAAATATAATGATACAAGTAGATAGGTTCTGCTAGGTAGGTCCAATTTGGTTTCTTTTTCCTTGTGGTACCAAGTATCGAACTCAGGGGCTCACACACACACTAGGCAACCAAGTTGCTACATCCCCAACCCTAAGTACTGTTTTGATTATTAAAATACCTATGGTTTTTAAAGATATTTTATCTTTACTTAACTCTTACTTAATTTTTTTGCCTAATTATTACTTCTTGCTAAACATAAAACAGCAACTCCCTTCACTTGAAAAATGATTTAACAATTCAACTCAGTATTATAATAAAGACCACCAGAATCTTTCCTTTCCTACAGTATTTATTGGATTTCAGAAGTATGATAAATCAAAATGTAAATGAGGCAATTACTATGACTCTAGTTGTCTTTTCACAGTCAGTACCTTTTTTACAAGACTTAAAAAAAAAACACATTTCTATATTATATATACCTTTCTATTCTGACTTTTCCTTTCAGGAGTAGTCATGCCTCTTCAAAGAAAATATACTGGAATCTGTCAGAATCCTATACAACTAATTCTTTGAACTTCCAAAGCAAACACTCTCTCTACTGTCTATAATGGGAAAAGACCCATCACAACTCTCATGGATAATTAGTTTCAATATAAAAATTATGTGCAAGGGCATACCAGCTGTTCCTGCACATGCACTTGATATAGTGAGGAAATTCTTTTCTATGCTGTTACATTATGTACTTTGATTTTCCTCCTATTAACCTAATATGCTTGCCTGGTTTGACAAGGAGCACCAATATTGGACACCTCCATGCATCATTCTCAGATCCTCTCATCACTCCTGGCGGACAAGGCATTGCCTCAAAAATGCCTTAGTGATCATTTTTCCCCCCAGATTTGGAAATGCCCTTTTATTTATTTATTTTTAGTGATCATTTTTTAAAACATATTTTTTTTTTAGTTGTCGGTAGACATTTATTTATTTATTTAGCTATTTACATGCAGTGCTGAGAATCAGACCCAGTGCCTCACACATGCTTGGCAAGTGTTCTACCACTGAGCCACAACCTCAGCCCCTTAGTTATCATTAAACAGGACAAAATTAATTCCCAGACTGCAGTTTCAGTCCTTAACCTAATAGCCTAATGTTCTACCACTGTTTCCAATATCTTTATCCTCACCAAACTGACTATAATGTCAAAAGGCAAGGTCACCCAATATCCTCTGCCCTGCTCTTGGAGGTAGCCTTGTAGAGATTCAATTTCTAGTTTCCTGATCTGTCCTAAATTCCTAGGATGGACTGTTCTTATTGCAGCTAACATCTTCCAGTTTCCTAATCTGGAAGAGAGTAGATTCTTTTTGCAAGCTTGTTTCTTCTCCTAACTTGAGGAGGTCCTCTCGCTACATATTCTTTCATCATTTCAGGTTCTTTAGGAGACCCTCGTGCCTTTACCAAATCCTACCACATTTTGTCACTCCCCACTCTGTCCTTTATACTATCTCTGGCTTGTAGCCCTTCATACTTCATCATTAACTGCTTCTCTCTTTCTTCATTCAACTAACATTAACTGAGTCCTGTTGGTTACAGTCCTGGGGGATTCAGTAATGAATAAAATGCGATCATTGTCTATTAGGATCATAAACATACTCCCGTCTCCCACTTAAGTTTCTTATAGCCCCATGTCAGCCGCCAAAACTAAGCATACATTTACCTTTGTTATCAAAAACACTCCATAATTTTATTATTTTACCAGGATGCATTTAACCCTCATCCTAATTCATTTATCACCTCTTTTGCCTCCCACTTCAGGCTCTCTCCTTTCCATTTTCAAGAGGGTTCTCTCTTAACCTTCTGATTCCTTGGTTATTCTCTCTTCCACCCCTGATTTCCCCCTTTCCCTACAATTCTTTTCGCTCCGTTTATCTATTAAGCTCGTCCTACTACGCTTTCCTCAAATTTTGACAGCTTACCTCTTTTCCTGCGCCCACCGCCGCCCCCAGGCCCCTGGCCTTTTCGTTGTTTCATGACGAGCCGGACCTCTTCACCAACTCAACTCTGGCCCCAGAAGGCAAGCTGTACCCTCCCGCCATCCCGTCCCTTGGTGCCTGCGTTCCCCGGCAACCGGCGCCGCTGGGCAGCCTGGGAGGCAGGAAGAAGCGGCTCTTTCTCTAACAGCCTCCGGAAAGCAGTGGGAAGAGAAGGCGCCAAGACGCCTTCCCGCCAATAGACTACAACACCCAGGATGCTTTGCTACATTACCTCTGCGGGGTTGAAAGGGGCACGTCCATCTGCGCAAGCGCACAGGGATACGCCCTTTGAGGACTCCATTGCCCAGCGTGCATTGCCTTTAGGAGCGCTCCTTCTTCCGGCGAGGGGTTGTCGAGTTCTCCGTTGGGGATTGAGGAGTTCGCAGACTCCGTTACCCAGCTTCCTTTGTGGGATGGCTGTTGCGCACTTCCGGTGGAAACGCTAAGGCGAGGGGTGGAGTTTACAGAGCCGGTGGGCGGTAGGCGGTGCTGCCGGTAGCTGGGTGCTGTCCAAAAGCGACTGGGCGTCGTTAGGAGTGAGCTGTGACCGGTTGGGCCTCACCTAGCGTGGGAAGAAGCTTCGGCACTGTTTGACTGTGTGCGGCCTCCCCTTGATGTCGGCCCTCGAAAAGAGCATGCACCTCGGCCGCCTGCCCCCTCGCCCTCCTCTACCCGGTAGCGGGGGCAGTCAGAGCGGAGCCAAGATGCGAATGGGGTACGTGACTTGTACTTCTTCTCCTTAGAGGCCAGATCCGGGCCTCTAAAAATGGGGTCTTGGCGTTTAGAGCGGCACGGGAAGGGAGGCTTAGGATAGGAGGAAATATTGGCGACGACCTGAGACGTTTAGATGGAGTAGAAGGCAGATACGAGGACTAGGGGCGGCGACAAGTGAATAGAAATTGGAGGACAGATTATATTGTTGAAGGGAGAAGGAAATGAGGGAAATATTGGAGAAGCTGAGAAAATAATTTAAAGGATGAGAGAAGCAACTCTGGAAGAAGGCATAGAGGTTGGAGGGAAGACTAGAACAGTAGCAGAGGTGGGGGTAAATCTGCCAGGGAAGATTGAGGGGAATGGGAAAAGACTGAGAGAAAAGTTGATGGTAATGGGGGGGGGGAAACTAAGGAAAGATTTGGCGGGAGTATAAAGACTGAGAACTGAGCTGAATGCTAGAAAGGCTGAGTACAGGGCTGGGGGTTTAGCTCAATGGTAGAGCACTTGCCTGGCTTGCACAAAGTCCTGGGTTCAATCCTCAGCACTGGGGGTGGGGGAGGCTGAATAAAGAACATCTGAGGCAGGACAGGAGAAAGAAAGAACTAGGGAGCAGAAGGTTCTAGAGAGAGTTCCCAGAGTGTAAGAGGCAGATTCAGGGAGTGAGGAGAGACTAGGAGATTAGGTCCTTTAAGGGAGAACTGAGAATGCTTGGGGAATAGGCCTAGGAAAGGTAAAGAACACATACAGATCGACTTTAAAGGTAATAGGAATACACTGAGACGCTGGGAGGAATAGGGGAGGTGTGATGAGAGAGAGGATGGAATTTAGAGAGTGGCTGTAGGCTCTAAAGATTGAGAAATGGCTAGAAATCTGGTTCAATGAATGGAAAGCCTATAGAGGTAAGGTCTTGGAAGCTTAAAGAGGAAGTTTGGGGCGGTTGTTTTTGCTAGGTGAATAGGGCTGAGGGAGGCTATATACTGATCTAAGACTCAGAATTAGTGAAGCACTGAGAGTAGCCACTTAAATATATTTTGGGAAAACGGTTTGCTAGAAAGGAAGAACTGTATTGAAGAGAAAAGCTTTGGAATTTGGTTTTTGAATGGAATGTGCTGGAGTAGGGGATATTTGGGTGTAGAAGAAAGCATGATGAGTTGAACATGGGAGAAGTAGTTGCTGTAAGCAGAGAATTGAATAGGCATTGGGTTTTGAGGAATATTTATAAGACTCAGGATTCTGGGGATGACTAATTAAAGAGAAAAGGGATAGAAGGAATGCTTAAGGATGAGGTAGTTAAGAGTGCATTGAATTTAGTATTCTGGTGATGTGTTAGTAGGTATTCTGGGGAAAGGACTGTACGTACTACTTTTAAAGAAGTAATGTATTTAAAAAAACTATTAAAAAGGAGATGAGGACAGGAGATGTAGTACTGTGAAAGTTGATCATGGGAATAAAAAAAAGAGAATTCTATAAAGTAAAACAGTGGGGTGGAGGGGTGCCAGGAATGGTTGGAAAAAACAGGGAAGGAAACTTGTTTACCTGGCCATAATACATACTAGAAAATTAAGAAAATCGACAGGAGAAGATAGGTTGATGGATACATAATAGAAATTGAGGGTAGGCAGCTGACATATGAGGTAAAATGAAAATTGTTCTGGCTTTGGAAGAAAAAAAATAAAAAGGACTGGGAATTTTGAGTTAGGCTCTTGATAAATTGCTGAGGGTTTCCCTGAAATGCTGAGGCTGGCCTTAAACTTGTAATCCTTCTGCCTCAGCATCCCTAGTCACTGGAATTAGAGGCATTTGGCATGCCACCCAGCTAAAAACATTAATTTTTAAATAATATAGATGCTTCAAGTAAGTTTAACTAGAGCTCAGCTTCTCACTTTGTAAAAACAGGAAGAACTTGGAGTGGGGGGGAATACCAAGGGAATATAAAAATGTCTGACAGTGAGAAGATTGGTTGTTAGTGACTTCTTTTTAAATAGATGCTTTAATTTTCTTGATTTAGGTTAACTGCTTATCCTAGAAATGAAAGTTCTTTAGAAAGATACTTCCTTATCTTAATATTGTGAACAGAAGAGCAGATATTAATGAATATTATGTGATCCTCAAGTGGCTTATTTTTTCTTTTCTACATCCTTATTGATATAGAGTAGTCCTTATCTAAGTTTCATGTTAATAATAAAATAGACTTCCCCCAACCACTTTGAATTATGAAGCTGGACAAGAGGTTTGACGTCTCATTTTACTACTACATCATGTAGTTAAGAAATCTGTGATTCAGAGAATTCAGGATTCTGTAAAGAGGTAGGGGAAATATCTTCTCTTAATAAATGAGAAAACTGAGATATTCTCGTGTTAGGGCATCCCTAGAAGCTTAGTGGTAAAGCCACTAAGGGCTAGAACTTGGGTCTTTGATTCTGTGGCCTGTTGTTTTGGTATTCGTAGTTGTATTCCTGGGAATACTTAATGTGAGTTGCATATGTTATTCCTTTGCAAATACTCTAGAATTCAGTCTTTTTTTTTCCTTTAGTCCTGATTTATGAAGTTTCACTTCCACCAGTTTCAAAGCATCCTTCATTATTTCTCCTTCAACTCACTTGTTTTTTCTTATTTTCCCTTCTTTTTTCCACTTCTTCATCCATCTCTTAATCTCTTTATTTTCAGGTTGGACCTGTTCCCTTAACAACCTCTTGTATAACTTACTTGTATGACTTACCACTGTTTTAAATAATCTCTTTGCTTCATTTTTCACTAAACCTTATTTAGGTGTGTTTGCCTGTGGAATTTATGATTTTTCTTGAGTTTTCTCAGTATTTCCAAAGTACTTCTGGATGATGTAATGATAACAATTAGTTTTTTTAAAGTTAAGTCCTGTGCCAGGCATTGTCTAGCAACTTTATATATGTTACTTAATATACCTGCCACCCTGCGAGGTGGTAGATATTTCCCTGCATTTATAGATAAGGAAATTTAGGCTGGGAGATTAAAAGTAATCCATCTAGTACATGTCAGAACTAGGATTCAGCCAGATTTAATCTAGAATCTGTTCCCTTTTCAGTACACCAAAACTTTATCTTGGGTAAGGTCTGAAATCCTGATGTCATTGTTCCTTAATGGATGCTTCTAGATGGTATAAAAGCATAGAGATTTTGAAGTGTATTAAAGTTTTTAGAACTACCTTAATTAAGTTGCATTTGGGATCTCTACTTGTTCTGCACTCTTGATGTGTTTAGAAGGAGTAAATCACTGCTGTAGTACATAACATTACCATTGAAAAGACTATAGAATATTAAAATGATTCAACATGTTTCTGGTTTATCAGTAGTACTACTTCTTTCTGATTCTCTTACATTTCTATAATCCTTAAACTGGCGTGTTCATATTAGTGCCTATTTGTATTTTGTATTCTATGAGTTAAACTAGGGCAAGTTTTTTTTTTTTTTTAAACAAATGAGAAAACTAAAATGTTCATGACTTGTTTAAGATGATGAAATTTCTATGTAGCAGAAACAGCATTCAAACATAGGACTTCAGATTTTTATTCCATTGTTTTTCTTTCATGTTATGTCTTGGACACCAGAATTTGGTGTTCAAGTGACATAGATCAAAGTTTGAAGCCCATCATAAGTATTTACATTGGTAAAGCCATTTACCCTCTTATAGTGTGCTTTCTTATTTCTAAAACGGGCATGCCTCTGCTTACCATTCAGTGCTATGAGAATGAGGTAAATACATGAAAAACAAAGTTTTGACACATAAGCTCTTAAGGAATGATAACAGGTAGATTATTATATATTGAGAATCGTGAGGAAGATTTTTATAAGGTAGAAGTTTTCCGGTTCTTATAATGTCAGCCTTTGTTTTTCTTTTTTTTTTTGAGGTAGGGCCTCACTATGTTGTCCAAGTAATCCTCTGTCTCCCCAGTAGCTGGGACTATAGATGCACTAACGTAGTTTTTTTCTTTCCCTGAATACGTATTTTTATTCATATCTGATTAGTCTTTCATCAAACTTTTAAAATTTGTTATGGATATCAGGCCTCTTATGAAGACTTTAATGACCTATTCACACAGAGAAATAAAGGGCAAAGTGAATTTGCTTTGCTTAAAAATCACAGATTGAGTTACTGAAAGAATCATATTCCAGTTGTTCTGTTTTTGTTACTTTTATTAAAATTCATTTAAATAGAAGTTATAATTCATGTACCATAGAATTCATGCTTTTAAAATGTGCATTTCAAAGGATGAGGATGTAGATCAATGATAGAGCACATGCTTAGCTGTACCAAATACTGGGTTTGATCCCCAGCATAGGGGGAAAAAAAAAAAAGTACAATTTAGTGTTTTGTTTTGGTTTGGTTTGGTATATTCAACAGG